TCTCTCTCTCTCGGCATTAAAATTAATTATTCATTAAATATTTCTCTGCATATTTTTCTACGAGAATAACAATCGAGGTTTTTATTTGCGTTATACACGACTACATGACTGGTAGAAAAAATGTGTTTTATATGTTTTTAGCGTTTATTTTTGTTTTATTAGTTTTTTTCTGTTAATACATTTAATAGCAGAGCCTCTCTATTAAGAAATTTTACGATAGTTTTGTCTCCAAAAAATTTTATATATCATTTGCATTATTGTCTAAAATGTTTATCACTCTCCTATGTGTGCCAACAAATTTAATTGTCATTCTCTCTCCCATTAACTCTCTCACTCACTCGTTCAATACCATTCTCTCTCTCCCCCTCCCTCTCCTATTCTCTCTCCCATTCTCTCTCCCATTAACTCTCTCACTGACTCTCTCATCCTGAAACTAACAGAGTGAGTGATTATGTGTGAGAGATATTGAGCCAAATCCGAATTGCCCTTTGGGCTTCCTGAACCTTTCATCCGCCCTTAAGAAGCCGCGCTTATACTAAGGTGGGTTTGGAGGCAAAACATTCTTACAATTAGTTTGGGAAGCCTTGCAAGACGTGACACTAATCATACTAGAAGTGGCAGCTATTATATCGTAAGTAGGCGGGAATTCTTCGGCGCGAATATGATTCCACCCAAACCTCCGAAAACATTCTTACAATTAGTTTGGGAAGCCTTGCAAGACGTGACACTAATCATACTAGAAGTGGCAGCTATTATATCGCTGGCGCTCGCCTTCTATAAGCCTCCGCCCGGGGAGGAGGACGACGAAGGAGGTAATCAACACAACGGTTCCCATTTGTGTGAAGACAACACACACAGTATACACATACAAGTAGTGGTAGCCATAGATCTATGCATTATCAGCGGTCACACAGATATAGCACACATACATATAGTGGTATTCACTCGTGAGGTGATCGATAAAGAACAGCCATTATTGCTGTGTTTAATACTCATTGACTGAATTCTCAGAGACAATACATATACACACATACAATACATATACAGATTGTAGATATACTGTATAATAGATATATAACGACTAATGGATGCCTAAATCGATTGGCAAACAATGAGCCGATAATTGATTAGTCATTTTGTATTAATGAAACGTTTGTTTTGTTGCTTTGTTACGCCCGACAGCCGGTGGTATGCATGAGGACGAGTCGGAGGCCGGTTGGATAGAAGGGGCGGCTATACTGGTGTCGGTAATAATCGTAGTGCTGGTGACGGCGTTCAACGACTACACGAAGGAGCGCCAGTTCCGCGGCCTGCAGTCGCGCATAGAGCACGAGCACAAGTTCTCAGTGATCCGGAGCAGCGAAGTGAATGAGCTGTTGGTGGCGGAGCTGGTCGTCGGCGACATATGTCAAGTGAAATACGGCGATCTGTTGCCCGCCGACGGTGTCATCATTCAGAGCAATGACCTCAAAGTCGATGAGAGCTCACTCACCGGCGAATCGGATCACGTGAAGAAGGGGTTAGATTCCGACCCAATGCTCCTCTCAGGTATGTGTGTGTCTGTGTGTGACTACCGGTGCCGTACATTTGTGCATACGTTAAAGCGTCGATTTTATGGACATAACTTTTGTTAAATCAGTTGCCGTTAATGTTTTGGTAGTTTAGCTGAAAATGTATACCAAGAATATTGTTGATAAAATCGACGCTTTAGTTGCAATGAGCGTAATATGTGACACATAATAACCATAATTGTTTTACCACTCGGTGTTGAACACTATATACAGGCACTCACGTGATGGAGGGCTCGGGCCGAATGGTGGTGACGGCGGTGGGCATCAACTCGCAGGCGGGTATCATATTTGCACTGTTAGGTGCGGCACAAGACGAAGACGACGCTCAAAAGAAACAAATGAAAAAGGGTTTGTCTCACACAATACATACATATCATGATCGCATCCATTATTACCATCATTATCATAGATACCATAGATTTCTATTATAACACGTATACATGTGTGGTTCCCATAGATGTAGTCATATATGTGTAGATATAGATGTTGGGGCGAAATGGACAGGGAATTGATTAATATATTTAATAGTATTCAATGTATGTATAGTTGTACGTATGGTGTCTATTAAATAGTCTATTTAATACGTTAATGAGATTTTTTTTCTGTGGGAATAATTTAGTTATTATTACATAATTGTAGTATTTTTTTGACTAACTTTTAGTGTATATATTAGTGTTGTTTTTTGCGCAAAATTTATTTTACAAAAATAATAATTGTGTGTATTTTAATAGCAATTATTTGATTAGTTTTTTAAATGCATTTGTAGTGTATTTCGTATTTGTGATGTGTTGTATAAATGTTGTGAGTATTAGCAGTAGAAAAATAGCTATAGATTTGATTGTTTTAAATTTTATTGATTTTTTCTGCCTCTCAGTCGTCTCTCCCATACTATTGAATGTCTATTGATTTCTTTCATCCACTCCTTTATAATACAGCGAAAAACTTCTCGTATATTATATGTGTTTATAATATACGATACGATATAATGTCTTGAGATATAAATGTCTTGAAATTAAATCTACACTAGAAATGCAACCAAAATCCTAATCACACATAATTTGATGGTTTAATTAATTAATGAAATCTAGTATTAATTCATTAGTAATATTAATGCAATTTATTATTTCGTTGTTGTTTTTTAATTGAATAATATTTTAATCAATATTTTTATCTCTTTTTTCTCCCATTTTTCTCTCCCAATCCGACTCTCATTCACATTCACTATATCTCTCTCTATCACTGATTGATTGATTGGTAATGCAATTATGTGTTTGAATTGATATTAAATATTGATAACTAAACAAACAATTAAATCCAAAAAAAATAAAATACAATTGAAAATGCGTTCACAAACGGTGTGCCGAATGAATACATATTATTGTTGTGTTGGAAACTATGATATTATTTGCAAAACAAATAATTATTACACAAAAACTTTTGAATATATATTTTGTGCGAAAATATTTGAAACAATTTTTTGCAAAACCGAAAAATCCTTATTAACTCTGAAACAAATGAATTGATATATCCTGTGATATGTGTGTGAATATTATAATCAAAAATGAATTATCAATTGAATTGCACTCCAATAAAACAACCACGATACCAATTTGATTGCAAACCACCATGATCTAAAACAATTCTATTACCATGATATAAATACCGCAACCAATTAACCAAAATATAAACACCAATTATTAAAACAGACGCTAAAAAGGCTCGCAAAAAGAAGAAAAGCATCCCCGGAGGTGATAATCATGATCTCAATAATAACATTACTACTGTTTTCTCTCCCAATCCGACTCTCATTCACATTCACTATATCTCTCTCTATCACTGATTGATTGATTGGTAATGCAATTATGTGTTTGAATTGATATTAAATATTGATAACTAAACAAACAATTAAATCAAAAAAAATAAAATACAATTGAAAATGCGTTTACAAACGGTGTGCCGAATGAATACATATTATTGTTGTGTTGGAAACTATGAAATTATTTGCAAAACAAATAATTATTACACAAAAACTTTTGAACATATACTGTATTTTGTGCGAAAATATTTGAAACAATTTTTTGCAAAACCGAAAAATCCTTATTAACTCTGAAACAAATGAAATTATATATCCTGTGATATGTGTGTGAATATTATGATCGAAATGAATTATCAATTGAATTGCACTCCAATAAAACAACCACGATACCAATTTGATTGCAAACCACCATGATCTAAAACAATTCTATTACCATGATACAAATACCGCAACCAATTAACCAAAATATAAACACCAATTATTAAAACAGACGCTAAAAAGGCTCGCAAAAAGAAGAAAAGCATCCCCGGAGGTGATAATCATGATCTCAATAATAACATTACTACTGTACTAATACACACCTATACACCCCCTGCCCCACCACCACATCCACGCCCATTGTTATAATGTTACATTTATATTTAATTTATTACACTCACTGTTTTGTAATGCAGTTATAATGTATGCCACCCTATTAACCCCGAATATTACCATGGTTCTCTAACTATCACACATGCCCCCCCCTCACCCATCACCTGTATGTATTACATTGTCACGTATTTGTACGTGTTTATATGAGATAGGGTTGTATTTTATGATAATTGACCCAGGTGACTTCCCGAGGTTGTTTATGTGTGTATGTGTTTATACATTATAATTGCATTAAGATCGGAACAGTTATTTAGTTTTATTTACCATATGTGTGTTACGTGTGGTATAGTTGTTATATTTATCGTTTTATTTATTATTTTTGGCTTTTATTTTCAGACCTCGAAATATTTATTTTTCACTTTAATATTTCATTATTAATATTGCATTTAATTTTATTATTTTTTGCTCTCTCTCTCTCTCTCTCTCTCTCTCTCTCTCTCTCTCTCTCTCTCTCTCTCTCTCTGATGCATTATTTTTTGAGTTATTTTACATGTATTTAAATTTATTTATTATTATAAAATATAGAATTTTATTATTGTGTTGTTTTTAATATAAATTTAACGAATGGTTTATTACATTAATTTCCGTAATTATATACAGTATTT